GGGGAGTGTTGCTGAACAAAAGGACCTTGGAATGCAGGTTCATAGTTCCTTGAAAGTGGAGTCACAGGCAGATAGGATAGTGAAGAAGGCATTTGGTATGTTTGCCTTTATTAGAAAGTGGATTGAGTATAGGAGTTGGGAGGTCATGTTGGGGGTGTACAGGATATTGGTTAGGCCACTTTTGGAATACTGTGTGCAATTCTGGTCACCCTGCAATAGGAAGGATGTTGTAAACTTGAAAGGGTTCAGAAAAAATTTACATGGATGTTGCCAGGGTTGGAGGGTTTAAGCTATAGGGAGAGGCTGAATAGGGTGGGGTAATTTTCCCTGGAGCATCGAAGGCTGAGGGACTTATAGGGGTTTATAACATAATGAGGGGCATGGATAGGGTAAATAGACAAGGTCTTGTCCCTGGGGTGGGGGAGTCAAAAACTAGAAAACATAGGTTTGAGGTGAGAGGGGAAAGATTTAAAAGGGACCTGAGGGGCAACTTTTTAACACAGAGGATGGTGCATGTATGGAATGAACTGTCAGAGGAAATGGTGGCGGCTGGTACATTTACAACATATAAAAGGCATGTGGATGGGTATATGAATTGGAAACGTTTAGAGGGATTTGGGCCAAATGCTGGCACATGCGACCAGATTTATCCAGGATATCTGGTCAGCCTCAAAAAGCCAGACTGAAGGGTCTGTTTCGGTGCTGTAGATCTCTATGACTCACCTGTGGCTATCGATGATGCAAATATCTCAGCAAGAGGCTCAGCAATCACTTCTCTAGCTTTCCACAGATTTCTAGGGTACACCTGATAAGGTCCCGGGGATTTATCCATCTTTATGCATTTTAAGACATCCAGCCCCTCCACCTCTGTAATGTGGACAATTTTCAATATGTCGCTATTTATTTCCCATGGCTTGCTATGTGATTTCAGAGAACGGTTGAGAATCAGCCGCATTGCTGTGGGTCTGGAGTCTTTCGTAGGCCAGACCAGGTGAGGATGGCAGATTTCCTTCCCTGAAGGACATTAGTGAGCCAGATGTGTTTTCCCAACAATCAACCATGGTTTCATAGTCATCAGTAGATTCTTAATTGCAGATAATTTTTTTTTATCAAATTCAAATTCCACCATGTGCTGTGGTGTGATTTGAACCCCTGTCACCAGAATGTTAGCTGAGTTTCTGCATTAATAGTTTAGTAATTCAATTCACTCCATATGATATTAAGAAACAGTTGGAGACACTGGATAATGTAAAGGGCCCTGACAACATTCTGGCAATAGTACCAAAGGCTTACGCTCCAGAACTTGCCGCTCCCCTAGCCAAGCTGTTCCTGTACAGTTACAACACTGGCATCTACCTGACAATGTGGAAAATTGCCCAAGTATGTCCTGTATATAAAAAGCAGGACAAATCCAACCCGGCCAATTTACCACCCCTTCAGTCTACTCTCAATCATCAGTAAAGTGATGGAAGGTGTTTTCAACAGTGTTTTCAAGCAGCACCTGCTCAACAATAACCTGACGCCCAGTTTGGGGCCTGCCAGGACCACTCAGATCCTGATCTCATTACAGCGTTGGTTCAGACATAGACAAAACAGCTGAATTCCAGAGGTGAGGTGAGAGTGACAGCACTTGACATCAAGGTTGGATTCGACTGAGTTTGGCATCATGTAGCCCGAGCAAAACTGGAATCAATGGGTATCGGGGACAAACTCTCCAGTGGTGGGAGTCATACCTGACGCACAGGAAGATGGTTGTGTTTGTTGGAGGTCAATCATCTCAGCTCAGGACATCTCTGAAGAAGTTCCTTAGAGTAGTGTCCTCAGCCCAGACCTCTTCAGCTGCTACATCAATGACCTTCTCTCATTATAAGGACAGAAGTGGGAATGTTCGCTGATGATTGCACAATTCAGCACCATTCACTACTCCTCAGATACTGAATGAGTCCATGCTCAAATGCAACAAAATCTGGACAATATCCATGCTTGGGCTGACAAGTGGCAAGTGACATTCACGCCACACAAATGCCGGCTATGACCATCACCAATAAGAGACAATCTAACCACCACCCCTTGACAATCAATGGTGTTACTATCACTGAATCCCCCCCTATCATCGACCAGAAATTCAACTGGACTCACCACATAAACACAGTGGCTACAAAAGCAGATCAGAAGCTAGGAATACTGCGGCGGGTAGTTCATCTCCTGTCCGCCATCTACAAGGCACAAGTCAGGAGTGTGATGGAATACTCCCCACTTGCCTGGATGAGTGCAGCCTCAACAACACTGAAGAAGCTTGACACCATCCAGGACAAAGCAGCCCATTTGATTGGCACTACAACCACAAGCATCCACTCCCTCCAGCACGGACACTCAGTAGCAGCGGTGTGTCCTATCTACAAGATGCACTGCAGAAATTCACCAAAGATCCTCAGACAGGACCTTCCAAACCCATGACCACTCCATTTAGAAGAACAAGGGCAGCAGACATATGGGAACACCAACACCTTCAAGTTCCTCTGAAAACCACTCACCATCCTGACTTGAAAATATATCACTGTTCCTTCACTGTTGCTGGGTCAAAATCCTGGAATTCCATACCTAATGGCATTGTGGGTCAACCCACAGCTGGTGGATTGCAGTGGTTCAAGAAGGCAGTTCACCACCACCTTCTCAGGGGCAGCTAGAGATGGGATAAATGCTGGCCAGCCAGCGACGCCCACGTCCTATAAATGAATTAAAAAAACCCACTAAGACATCGCCTCCCCCAATGGCCCAGATATTCAGAGATAGTAGGAACTGCAGAT